TCTCATGCTTCCTAGGGGTACACATGCTGATACAATAAAAACAAAAAAGTAAATATGGTTTTAGTATTCTTCTTAGCTAAGGCTTTTATAAGGAGGTATTATATTTCTATTTTTCTCACTTTAATATATGCTAATGAAGTATAGTTAATATAGAAAGTATAAAAGAAAGTTTAGGTATGGTATGTTCAGTATAAAACATACTTGAGTCCACTGCACTGAGATATGATTAATGCCATTCCGTAGATGTTCTATGTGAGCATGCATAATTTTACCATGATTCTCTAGGTGACATTTCAAGGGACATTTGGGAATATTCACAGTATACTTGTCTCTGCCTGAATAAGCCGTACACAGTTTCATTTCTTAGATAACACAACCAGGACATGATTTTTTTTGCCATTAATATTCCAATATACTGCACTTGTTTGTCTAAAGGCTTGATTTAGCATACCTTTATTTAGTATAAAAAATCTCTAAGAAAAGGATTCTGAGAATAATTTTGTGGTTCCTATGTGTTCATATACACACATGATTAGGCTAGTATGCAGACATTTCTGCATGCTCACTATGTAGCGCTTTTGATAAATATTGTGTGCAATACATCAGACGGAGAAATGCTAGAATTCTCTCAATAAACTAAATAAATTAAAATCCATTTAAGGCTGCATTTCCTCTTAGGATTTCCTCTAAGTTATATTTTTACAATATAGCCCATTATTTAACTGCTATATTTACGGTGTTTTTTTTTAATAGATTCTTGATTTTAAACATATAAATAAACATAAGCCAACATATAACAAACCTATCAACCAAAATGCATGAAAAGGTCATGGTAAGCAAAGAACAAATTCTAAAATACAGCTGTTTTACAGAAGGCTACGAGATTGAATAAGGATTTATTAAATACGTACGGTTGGATGATGAAATTAATGTTTTTTTAATCTGCTTTTACATATAGATTTTCTAGATTGTATATCTTATTAAATTGTATGCTAATGTCATTAGGCATAACATTGTCTGTTATGTTATATGTTTCTGTAGGTTGCATCTACTTACAAAAATAATTACCTCCAATGAAATCTCTATGTAGACCACGATTTCTGCTTATGCATTCAGGAATTAATCTTGTATAATGATTTTTTGGTTCAGCAAGGATAATAGAATGTCAAGTCACCTCTCTATAAATGCATGTTGCTCATTACAACAGGTGCAGATATACACACATCATTAGAATAACTAGACATCGCAATTTATGAGAAAATTGATCATTATTAAGTGGACTTCACATGCATATTTCAAATCGTTCCTGCCTGTTTTTTGGAAGTGTGACTCAGTTGGGTATTACCTAAATGTAAATGATTTAGGTCATTTGGAGAAAACTATTTTGTGCTATTAATGCAAAGTTCTAATTTTTTAACGGGGTCAGGAGACTGAGAGCAAAAAATCCCTCCTGCATGACATGAATAAAATATATTTTCTTATATGCACAAACACATTTAATAGATTCATGGAGAATAACACCCCTATCGTGCTCTTGTGGGAGAGAGAAGAATTTATCTACTTTTCATAGAAGTATTGTATAACATGCTCAACAGTCTCTGATTATTTATTTTCCCCAAAAACTTTTTTTAATTTTATACATAAATCCATAACTATGATATTTTGTATATTTACAAAATAAGTGAGTTGTTGTGAAATGACAAACAAGTGACAACATTAGGGCCAAAATGTATTGAAGGATTTTTTCAATTTGAAAGTTTTTTTATCTCTTTTTGAATTTTTTTTAGAAATTCTGCAATTCTGTTTTTAAATCAGCACAGTACACTGTTTAGTGAAAATATACCTTAATAACCTATAGTACATATAGTTCTTTGGAAATTAACTAATTAACTCAAGTTCTTTTGGAAATTAACTAATAACAATTAACAATCGTTGTAGTTTTCAATCATATATTATAGATGGATGCTACACTGGATTAACTTCGATTTTCTGACCCAAATCTATTAGAAAGTATAAAATATGAGTGTATTTCTATTAAGTCCAAAGCATGTTTTTGCTATTTAATTATTCTATTAAAGAATGGAAACTAAAATTATTGAAGGGGAATGCAGGGTAACAGCACTTTCACAAGTGTCCTCCACTCAAATCAAGATGGAACGATATGCAATACGAAAGGACAAAAAAACAAACAGAATAATATAGTGCAGTATTTTTGATGCTGGTGATTATAAATAAAAGAAAGGAAATGCACTAGCAATGTTCTGGGATTTGATTTCAACTCCAGACATATGTGCTTGGACGGTACAATCTCCGTCTGTAGATATGCTGATCTATCTACCTACGGCCAGAAGGAAGAGATTCTGGTTTGGGAAGTTCGAGCTGCCACATAGAATTTGAGCAAGTGCTACAAATCCCAAAGTTTTATTTATTAAAACTAACAATTGCTGATATAAGAGGTTAAAGTGAACCCGTGACACTGAAAGGGAAAGTAGATTTCATAAATTAATACTTGCTGAGATCTGTGAGACCCCAGCATTTAATTAAATAGAGTCAAATGACTTATACCTTATACTGAAAGAGCAGACCAGCCCTCTGTAAAACAAATAAATAATTTCATTTTTTTTTTTGAGGACTGGGTCCTTTTGACAAGTGGTCTCTACGCCTTCTTGTACCAGGTGGCCTTTTTGTCTATTATTAGGGTCAGGAGATTCCCAGTCTCCACGTCCTACATTTACCCTAATAATTAACAAAGGGGGCTAGAAGATGTCCTCTGGCTTTGTATATGCTCCATAAGGGGTTGCTTGTTTAATATACAGAGGACCAAGAGATGCCCTGTCTCTTGGCAGTAGAATACTTACAGAGGGGCACAGCCCATGCCAAGAGGATCTGGATTTTTGTAAGGGGATCTAACAGTACTTATTTCCTAACTCCCACGCTTGCCCATTACTGATTTTGGGAGCCAGATGTGACATAATTCATGCCCTGTCATCAGAAGAGCTGTGAAGAGCTGGTCAATCACTGCAGAAACTCTTTCCAGCACTAAACACCAGGGATGAGGTTCCACTCCAGCTTTTGTATCTAACAAAAGAGAGGCTAGGTGAACCTCAGTGTGAAAAAAGATTATAAATAAAAGCATAAAAAATAAGTATGTGTATGAATTAAATATTTGTATATGTGTCAGTGTGTGTATATGAATATGTGCATAAACGTCCAGTTGTCTGGTGACAATTACATGTCTGTTAGTCCACCCATTGTACAGCGCTACAGAATCTGATCGCACTATATAAATAATATAATAATAATAATAATAAAAACGTCTGTATGTGTATGAGTCTCTGTGAATGGATGAGCCTGTGTACATGAATGTGTGTTTGTGTACATGAATTTGTCTGTGTGTACACGCGTGCGTGTGTGTGTGTGTACATGAGTCTCTGGTGTGTATGAATCTGTGTGTATGTATATATGAATGTGTTGTATGAGTCTGTGTGTATGTTTATATATATATGAATGTCTATGTGTATATGAATGTCATTGTGTGCATTTTGTTATGTAATGTCCCTTGCAAAATGTAATTGCTGGTGGTATAGAGGAAGACACTTTTTTTTTTTTACATTGGGATGGGGATGCCAAACTATATAAGCTAGGTATCTCCTATAGTAGAGAACAGCTGAAGACCTAAATAGTCAAATAGCTGATTGTGTGTCTGAGGCAACCTAACTTAGGGGATAACCCTCACATATGTGTGGATACTGAAAAAAATAAAAAAGGGAGACCATGGGAGAAAGGGAGAGGGGAGGGGGGCGCAAGAGACAGGCACACACACCCTCCCTGCTTTAACCCACAAGGTCAACCAAAAAGGAAGCCCCTTCCTAAAGTAAATGCTAAAACTTAACCTTTAATACAAATAGGATTAAAAAAAAAATGATTCATGCGAAACAAAAAATAAACAACAGGGTAAAAATGGAAAAAGAGGGAGCATATAGAAGAAGGATATGAAATGAAAACCACTAGGATCGCCTAATGGTAATAGTGATATGGTTATAATAGCCAAAAAGACATATCATTAGTCCAGACTAGTCAGAGGGCTGTAATGAGTAATGGGGTGGCACTAGGGTAAATTGTACAGAGAAGAACCAGACAGAATCAAGTTCTAGAGTGCCACAAAATAGCAATCATGAAATGTGAGCACTAATTGTAGCTATATGAATAAATGCTACATATGGATACACAGTGAAGCAGAGTGGCTAGCAAGCTCAGGAACTTCAAATGAGTAAAGTGTCACAGTCTAATTGCAGCTGCATACGTGACTCACGTTGACACCACCCACCATATCACAGAATGACCCCCAAATGAAAAAAGGAGGTCATTAATCTAGTGGAATAGATATGTCCTGAAAAAGACATAACCTATCTAACTAGATCCAAAATCCAAGTGCTAATACAGTCTATAATCTAATGCGAACTGCATATAGAAATAGTAATCCCATCCCCCACCCGTCACTCGTATAAAGCAGCCCCCTGGACCGAAAAAAAAAATGACTAACTAAATAGTTGCTGGAAACAAGCATCAAATAGCTCCCTCAATCTGCCTAGCCTGACGCGCGTTTCGGCGCTATTCAAAGCGCTATTCAAATGCACCAACCAATAGAATTAGGGGGCGTGTGAATACCAGTTCGCTTCAAAATCGGCGTTCGAAATGGTCCCGCCTGGACTAACGATATGTCTTTTTGGCTATTATAGCCATATCACTATTACCATTAGGCGATCCTAGTGGTTTTCATTTCATATCCTTTATAACGGCTACCCAGCTGGAGAGGGGTATCTGCCATTGGAGACGTCCTTTTCTATGCAAGCTGCTGTGAAGTAATGGAGTTCTTGTTCCCATCCACGATATCCAAGTGTATAATCCAGGAGTGCTGTAAAATGAGGCAGAGTAACGGTACCATAAATCCCCTCCAAGAACGAGACGAGGCTACATTTTGATGTTTATTGACAGGGGGTCTCCTTTTATGCAATGGTGCCCTCTGAAAGGCTACACCCACATAATTATCACAACAGCCAATTACATACATGGTTCAACCCCCACGTCTCCTCCCCTCAGATAACATATAACACAATTAAAACAGACACACTTTTAACTACATTCTGGATGTACCCCAAAAACAGGGGGTACACCTTTAAGTCCAGCACCGCTTAATAGCTCTCACTCAGGGGAACAATATATCCAAATTTCAGTCCATCCGGTTGGGGGGTTCGGGAGTTATGGATCTTTGAAGTTTTGACCGACCGCACAGGTTTTCCAGCCGAAAAGAGTTCCATAAGTTTTGGCCTTGCGGTCGGTCTCCGTTCGTGCATAAAAACCCCACGAACCCCTTGCCATCCACAGTCATCCTGGTGTTCGCCTGAATCCCCATGAATGCTTAAACAAAACTACCGAACGGCCGGTCGTTCGGTAGTTCCAGCACGAACTTACGAGCTCCTGGAGGTCTCAGCGGTGTTCGCCTGTTTGCGTATCCGTTTTTTGTTCCATGCGTTCACAGGCAAACACCGCCGTTCGTGCGTAAGATGGCCGCGAACACGTGTAAAGTCCCGAAATGGCGGCCATCTAACCTGGGCACAAAGGGATTCGTATGAACCATGCGAACGGCTCCACAATCACCGGGAGGTAAAATAGCAATAAACTGTTCCCCTGGGTGGTCTGCTGTTCGGTATTTTGGGCTGTATGTTACAGTAGCAATATTCACACGAAAACTAGCCATTCGGTTTCTATTTAACACATCCAGCAGCATTGTTAATTAAGTCCAGGCAAAAGTGTAGGCATAATCATAGTTCTGTTACATCCTTCTTCTATATGCTCCCTCTTTTTCCATTTTTACCCTGTTGTTTCTTTTTTGTTTCGCATGAATCATTTCTTTTTTATCCTATTTGTATTAAAGGTTAAGTTTTAGCATTTACTTTAGGAAGGGGCTTCCTTTTTGGTTGACCTTGTGGGTTAAGGCAGGGAGGGTGTGTGTGCCTGTCTCTTGCGCCCCCCTCCCCTCTCCCTTTCTTCCACGGTCTCCCTTTTTTATTTTTTTTAGGTATCTCCTATCCCTGTAGAAGTTAATATGTTAAGCTCCCTGTAGCTCTGGGTTCTCATGCACCTAGCCACCATCCAATAAATTACATTACCTTTCCTTTCACACTAATAGTTAATACTGAGAAGGTAAATATGCTAAAAGGTGAAAATAATTCTGAAAAACTATATATCTCTCAAAGTCTTGAGCCATCATATCCTGGGACAATGAAATGAAAAAAAAAACCTAAAAAAAAAACAAACTGTTGAAGTCTCAAAAACCAGATAAATAAGAATTACCATAAAAAAATTAAACTAGTCTTCACCCACCAGGCCAACTGGCAGGATGACTCTGTACTGACTGGATGTTCAAGGCCTCTCCCTCCTTGAAAATTCAGTCTGAGTATTGTAAACGTGTGACTTCCAGGCTAATTCTCTCTTATTAGATGCTGAGGTCTCATAGACTAGACCAGGCATAGGCAAACTTCGGCACTCCAGACTACACCTCCCATGATGCTTTACCAGCATTATGGGTGTAAGAGCATTAGTCCACAACATCTGGAGTGCCAAAGGTTGCCTACCCCTGGAATAGACTATTATTACAGCATTGAATAGATATAACATCATAACATAATTTTTTTTATTTACCTTTTAGTAATTGCTCTGCACTCCATTAAGTCCTCTATTCCCAATGATTGTCCTTTCTTTCCTATAAGTCATACCCTAAGGCATTGATTTACTAACATGTTTACCCACTAAACTGAGAACTCAACATGAATTTCAAACTTAGTACAAAGTAGCTAGAGTGAAAGTATAGCTGACTTAGAGAATATTTACAGTTTGGCTTTTTTTACTTTAAATTTGAAATTCACTTTGAATTAAATAACACTGTAAGTAAAGAATCACTGTGACACTAAAATAAATTATGCTTAGAAGTCAATTTAAAGAAGGCCTGTTATTGGAAGGCCTGTTATCGCTGCACACAGGTTGGCTTCTGAGTGTTAGAAGATATATTTCCCAGTGTAAATGTAGTCTTTGCATAATGTTAGGAAAAAAAACATTTTGTACCCTATGGAATTATAGTTGCAAGCAGTCACAGAAGAGTAAATTAATACATGATGGAGTCTAGTCAGGGATAGTCAACCTTCAGCACTCCAGATATTGTGGACTACATCCCCCATAATGCTCTTACACCCATAATGCTGTCAAAGCATCATGGGAGGTGTAGTCCAAAACATCTGGAGTGCTGAAGGTTGCCTATGGATTAATGTAGTACAAAAGTATGAAGAAGTTTCTCTAAAATGTAAACCAAAATATGATGCCATAAGACTCTTTTCAATACTATGATACCTTGAAAACATTATTTTATTTTTATGCAGGGTGTTCATGCTAAGTTCTAAGAAATATGGTATCAACAAAAAAAAATAGCTAACAGAAATTATGTTGAATAAGGTTCTTTTAAATTGTAAAATTGGGTTTACTTGCTGCCTGAACTGTGGTTATCTAAATAAGATATTAATCTAATAAAATATCCTAATGAGAGCCAGATGCATAATGCATTATATCTCAGAAGGAAAAAATAATGAATTCAGTTAAAAAAGAAATATTCAAAAAACCTTCAACTAAGAAAACACAGCATGTTTCATATAACCAAGCAGACAATATTCCAAGCATATCTTGAATATCTAACACAATACCCTGTTGTGTCATCACACAAAAAATGTTAATACAACTATAAAATAAAAGACTCATGGGATCACATAAATGTGCAACTCAATTGAAGGCTCCTGGTGGAAACCATAAACTACACAACCACCTACATTTTAAAATAAGCATTGAAAATCACACAGATTGTTTTGCCAGAGAATTTTAATCAGATGTATCCTTTAAAAGTTGCTTTAAACCCTGTTTCTCATAGCGAACTTCAAAGTCGTATGTTCAGTCCTCACTTCAGCTTCCAATGCTTTTACTATCTTGTACTCCTTTATTCCTGCTTCCACTACACCCCACTTCCAACTTATTTATAATAATTTCTCCTACTTCTCTGTGATGAAATACAGTCAGGCAAGATGGTTTGACCCCAGGAAAGAAGTCAAACTGTTCTGTATCTATCACTATCCTATCCCTCATGTTTCTCTACCTTCCTCACTTATATCTCTCATTCTACACCCACTTTTTCCTACTTTGATACTCCACACATATACACCACCACCCCATGACATCCACATGCTACTCCTTTCATGCTGTGCCCCTCACGTGTCTATCAATCTATGCCTACCACATGTTCCACTTTCTATCCCAAATACCCATATGTCCCTTCTTCTTTCCAATATACCCCACACATCCCATGTCCCAGGTATTGCCAAGACTCAAATTTTTTTTGTCTATTTCATCATTTGTCCAAAAGATTTTTTTCAACAAAAATTTCAACACCATTTTTGAATTCTATGGTTTTACATATCAATACATAATAACAATCATCTGTTCCTTAGCAGGTCTTAACAGTAGGTAAATACAACCTCAGATGAACAACAAATGACATATTACACCGTGTCATGATTTATTTAACAAAAATAAAGCCAAAATGCAGAAGCCATGTGTAAAAAGCTAAGTACACCTTATGATTCAAAAGCATGTAAAACCAACCCCAAGCAGCAATAACTTGAAGTAATCATTTTCTCCATGTCTTTATCAGTCACTTATCATTGAAGAGGAATTTGGACCCAAATTGCATTGCTTAATTTCATTAAGGTTTGCTGGCATTTGTTTATGCACAGCTTTCTTAATGTCCCACTACAGCATTTCTATTGGATTGAGGTCTGAACTTTGACTGGGCCATTGCAACACCTTGATTCTTTTCTTTTTCATTATTTCTGTTGTAGATTTGCTGGTGTGCTTGGGATCCTTGTCCTGCTGCATGACCCAATTCCGGCCAAGTTTCAGCTGTCGGACATTTGGCCTCACATTTGATTCTAGAATACTTTAGTATACAGAGTAATTATGGTCGAATGGTTTTCAGGTGCTGTGGCTGCAAAACAAGCCCAAATCATCACCCCTCTACCACCATGCTTGACAGTAGGTATGAGGTGTTTGTGCTGATATGCTGTGTTTGGTTTTTGCCAAACGTGGCATTGTGCATTATGGCCAAACATCTCCACTTTCGTCTTGCCTGTCCAAAGGACATTGTTCCAGGAGTCTTGTGGTTTATTCAGGTGCAACTTTGCAAAATTAAGCTGTGCTGCTATGTTCTTTTTAGAGAGAAGAGGCTTTCTCCTGGCAACCATACCAACCAAGCCATACTTATTTAGTATTTTTCTAATTGTACTGTCATGAACTTTAACATTTAACATGCTAACTGAAGCCTTTAGAGTCTGAGATGTAACTTTTTTTTTTTGCAATTTCTCTAAGCATTGCACATTCTGACCTTGGGGTGAATTTGCTGGGACATCCACTCCTGGGAAGATTGGCAACTGTCTTGAATGTTTTCTACTTTTGAATAATCTTTCTCACTGTAAAATGATGGATTTAAAATTTTTCAGAAATGGCCTTATAATTCTTCCCAGTTTGATGGGCAGCAACAACTGCTTCTCCAAGATCAATTCTGATGGCTTTCCTCCTGGGCAGTATGTTAACACTGCTAAAACTTTGGCTTTTATAGAGGTGGTCACACTTGCTGATGATCAGTTTATCAAGGGCATTTGATTAGCAGCATCTGTCTGCTACTTAACCTCTTAATTCCTATGGAAACAGTAAGGGTGTACTTAGTTTATCACTCATGGCTTCTCTATTTTGGCTTTATTTTTGATAAATAAATCATGGCACGGTGTAAAATGTCATGTATTGCTGTTCATCTGAGGTAGAGAGAGGCATGTTGGCATCCCTCCACCCCCAGAACTGTAAACTTTTGTGTGCCCATTATCTTCTTGTGTGTCTTTCTTATTCCCCCTTTCTACCTTGTGTGCCTGTAATGGAAGCTTTAGCACCTTTTAATGGTTGCCCTATGGAACTGTGCTCCCAAGTAATTGAGTGCTGACTGAACAGTCTCTTGGAACCTCCTTCCTAGAGACTATAGACTCTCTATTATTACTGAAACTGGACTCAGTGGATAATGTGGCTAACCATCCAGTTTCAAATTCCTTTGGATTTATGTTGTGACAAGACCAATCTCGCCACATTGCATTGGAGAAGCCTGGTTGCTCGCCTGCTGCCTTTGGACTATGGCCCCCTGTTAAAAGACATCTTTTTTACCTGCAGAAAAGCTTCATTCGTGCTTTTCTGCCAGGGGTTCGGTAGATTTGTTTGAATGTGTTAAACCCCAGATAGGAATCCCATGGAGCCCATTCATATGAAACTGACTGTAAAGACTTTGGCTCCATAGCGATTAAACTGTATTCGTGTGGTCTGAGCGCCATTCACTTAATAATGTGCGCTCAGACCTGAGCTATCTGGGGATATGTTAAATGTATAGTTTTAATATAATGTGACTTACCTGGTGTATTTTAACAGTAATGCACACTGTGAGGAAGTGACTTTGCTGGGTTTCGAACCCTGGTTTACATGGTGCTAAACCTCTTCCTTACCAGTACACCAGCCTGCCTTTTGCAAATTTACCTAAGATCTGATACCAT